CCGGCGCCCGCCGCCCCCGCCGCCCCCGCGGCTGGCTGCGGCTGCTTGTCGCGTGCGGCCAGCTCCGCCGCGCGCTTACTCTTGCCCTTGCCGGGCCCCGGGCTGGCGTCGCCCGAGCCCCCCGGGTGCTGCTGTTGCTGCTGCTGCTTGTGGCCGCCGCTCTTACCGCCGCCTTTGCCGCGCAGCGACGCGCTCTGCTGGCCGCCGCCTCCGCCGCGGTGGTTGTGGTGGTGCTTGGGGTCCTCGGTGTCCCGGTTGTGCAGGCGAATGAGCCCGATTTTACGGAGCAGCGTGGCCATCTTAGGCTCGGCTCTGGCGAGGGGCTCCCCGGGGCTCCTGATCCCCGAGCCGGATAGCTGGGACGCACGGGGCGTGTGGGGGGAGGCAGGCGACCGCTCAGTGGGGCGCGGCGAGGGCCACCTTAGGAACCGGCGGCCGTGGCGCAGCGGAGCGGGCAGCACCAGCGCTCGGTGGCCGCCGTGTCGCCGCTGTCATATGACGGGTCTTCTCCGGCAAGGGCTCCGGTAGCCTGCGAAGGGGAGGCGTCGAGACACGGCGTAGCCGCTGTCCCTAACCAGTCCCTGGGCGCAGTCCCCGGACGCCGGGTGTCCGTGGTCCTTTGTGCGCGGCCGCAGACCGGCTGGCCCCGAGTCTATGAGCTGTACCACGGCGCGCACAGCCGCCCGCGGCGCCCCGGAGGCAGCGAGGTGGCCGCGGAGTCGCGCTGTGCGCCTGCCGGGCCGTGCTGCGCTGGCGGCTACCGCGGGGCCCGGGCCACTGCCGCTTTCGTCGCCGCCGCCGCTGCGGCTGCTGACATTGCAGAGGCGGCTGCTCCGTCTGAGCCGGGCCCGGCGCGGAGGGGGCGGCACTGCCGGCCGGGAGGGGGAGCGCGGGGCGGAGCCGCGGGCTTGACTGCACCGTGCCACCCCCGCCGCCAGGTTCCTGCGGCGACACACGCACGGCCGCTGGGGGGAGACAGCGGTGCGCGCCCGCACTGTTTTCTCGTGGCTGCGTGCGTTGGGGAGCCGGGGAAGGGCTAGCCTGAGCGTGCTAATAGGGTCTCTCAGAATCACTGCATTCTTTGATCCCTAAACGTGAATGCTGTTGCTGGGGTCCGGGCCTCATATCCCATTTAACCTCCTTTGGACAACGTAGAAGGGAAAGGTGGAAATCAACCTCTTTATTAATCCTTCCAACCAGACGAATGAGCCCAATCTTTCTACACTTCTGGGCGGTGGGAGCCAAAGATGACAGGAGGGACACTTAAGGACTGATTAAAAAGCCAGGCCGGAGAGCGGGATGAAAGAGCAGGTCTGCCGCAAACTTAAAAAACAGCCCCTTCAAAGTCACGACTAGAGTAAAAGCTAACCTTTAGCCAAACCACCCAGCCCTCACTGGCTTGCTCCCCCCCACCCCATCCCTGCCTGCTGGCAGCAGCGTCTCGGCTTTCTATGGCCAGGCTGTGAGTGGCGGCTGCTTTCCAAAATGTGGCGGAGAAGCACACCAGACGACTTCTCTGGCGCTGACCGGTGCTGAGAGCAAGAAAGGACTTTCCGAGCAGCAACCCCCCGTCACCCCCCAGGGCTGCTCTCCTGAGTGAGGGACCTCTACAGTGCTCGAATGAGGGAGGGATCCGTCGTCCACCTGCAGATTCCCAGTCCTTTTCTTCCCCGTGGAAACTAACTTAAAATCTGGTGAAAATTGCAACTAAAATCGATTTCAGATTAGCTCGAACTGTGAAGGTTCCGGTGTGCTGCGTGTGGCCCAATGGCGTAGGCGACACCAGTCCCTCAAGAACAGCGAATATTATCCCGCTGCCATTCTAACTGGCGTCAGAGTCTACTGCCTCTGCTGGCGTGTGGATGCTGAGGGGGAGCAGCTCAGTTCTTCAGGACAGGCGTTCCTTCTGGATGGCAGCCGTTTGTCTTTCTGTCCCTAACATCTTTTAAACCAAATTTTGAATTTTCACTGTGGAAAATAACTGGCGAGGTCACTGTAAAGACACAGACCTGGTTTTGGGGGTTCAGATTCGAGGATAGATGTGAAACGGGGGGGGGGGGGAGCCAAGCTAGCTGGCTGGTGTAGAGGAGCAGAAGGTTCACGCCCACCTGGCATTGTACCTGGGAGAGGGTGGTTCTCCAGAGGGCCTGGCAGTCCTTTGGCTTTCAACAGGACTCACATGGTGATTTGGACTAAGAATAACTCGGACTATCGGTGGAATCTGAGGGAAGCTGAATCAAGGGTTTGTTTGTCCGGGCTCCTGATTGCTTTGTTTAACACTTCATTCTTGAGCAGTCTCCTCCTGCTTCTCCTCACCACCACCATCATTTTCTTCTTCCTCTTCGTCTTTCTCTTCCTCCTCTCCTTTTACCTCCTCTTCTTCCTTCTCTGCTTCTTCTTCCTCTTCCTTCCCGTTTTTCTCCTCCTCCTTTGTCCCTCTCTACTTTCTTTCTCTTCCTTCTCCTCTTCTTCCTCTGTCTCCTCCTCCTTCATTTACCACCACCACCACCACCACCACCATCACCATCACCATAACGATCATCATCATCATCATCACAATCATCATCATCATCACAATCATCATCATCCTCTCTAGGGAAGGGCAAAATGGTAGATCTACTTGCAGGGTCCCAAGAGTTCCTTTAAGCATGCTGGCTGCATAAAAAAAAAAAAGGTGAAAAGGAGACACAGAGAGATCAGGCAGGTGTCTGTATCAACTACTTTTCTCATCGCTCTGACAAAATGTCTGGCAAAGGCAACATAGGGAAGGTGTGCTGGCTAATTTATGCCAACTCGTCACAAGCTAGAGTCATCAGAAAGGAGAGAACTTCAACTGAGAAAAATGTCTGAGTAAAATAATGCTGTAGGTAAGCCTTAGGGCATTTTCTTAGTGAATGATGAGAGACAGCCCAGCCTATGGTGGGTGGAACCATCCCTGGGCTGGCGGTTCATGCCTTCTAGAAGAAAGCAGGTTAAGCAAGCCATAAGGAGCAAGCCAGTAAGCAGCACCCCAACATGGTCTCTGCACCGCTCCCACCTCCCGGCTTCTGCCTTGAATGAGTTCCTGCCCTTGCCGATTTTTGGCAATGAACTATTATATGGAAGTTACACAGAAATAAACCATTTCTATCACCAGCATGCTTTTGGTCATGGTGTTTTAGTCGCAACAACAGTAGCCCTAACTACGACAGAAGGAAAAGTTTGTTTTAGTCACAGTTTGAATCAATCATGGTGAGGAAGGAGTAGGGGTGTGGAGCTTGAGGAAAGTAGTCAGACTGCATCCAAGGTCAGGAAGCAGAGATGAATGCTGAAAATCAGCTTACTCTCTGCTGTCCCTATCTTTATTCGGCCAGGAACCCAGGTTGATGGCACGATGCCACCCACATTCAGGGTAGGTCTTCCATGCTCAGTTAAACCTTTCTGGAAATGCCCTTATCAACATGCCCAGAAGTGTGTTTCCATGGTAATTTTGAATCACACCAAGTTGATAATCAATATTCATTATCACACAGTCTATGCCTTATGATTTAGCTTCTTGGAAACCCTCCCAAGTTTTACATTTTATTGTCCAAAAAAAAAAAAAAACCCAACCTAACCAAAAAGCAAAAAAACAAAACAAACCCTAAGTTCCAAAGGATCTTAGGGTTTGCTGCTAGCTCCACACTGCCATATGCTAAGAGGGATGGTCTAGCTGGGACCCATACCATAAGGACTCTAACCTCAGGCTTCTAGACTTGCTGTTGACCAGCTGGCTTGAGACTGATTCTTTGTGCTTTAGTCCCAGCAGAGGAGGTGAGAAAGCCTGGTTGAGTGCAATTTCCCTAACCTCTGAACCAGAGAACTTGGGCAGTGATGGTCCATTTCCCAAGAACAGGATTGCTCTTGGAAATCCCAGACAGTGTTGATTTGCCTCTGTGTCTGTGCTCACTTAGCATTAGGGTGATTGCTTTATGTATATGGTATGTGTTCCCCAAGGGTTCTTGTGTTGGAACTCTTATTACTTTAAGAGCCATGGGTCTTTTAAAAGATGGTTTAACGGGACACTCTCTGGTCTTTGGCTCTCCCCTCTGTAAGCATCTCCAGTGGAAGGCCATCTACCATGATGTGACCCAGTCATTTAGTGCCCTTGAAAGAGCTGGTGCCCTGCTATTTTGATTTTCAGCCTGCAGAATGGTGTGCAAACCAACCTCTTTTGTTTACAGATAAGATGGGAGTTTCATTGTAGCAACAGAAGACAGAGTGATACAGCATTTATAGAACTTGTCTGTTTGTATATACTGTTAGAGAGTAGAATATTAAGGACTCATGCTGATGCGGGGACAAGAGGCCCAAACAGGACTGTCTAACCTACAGACACCAGGGTTAACTCATGTGTCCTCTGCCTCAGTTACAGAATCCAGGACCAACTCTATACAAGGCTAAAGCCAGGGGCTAGAGTGAAAGCTCAGTAGTTAAAGGCACACACTGCCTGCCCTTCTAAAGGACCTGAGTTTGATTTCTAGCACCCAGGTTAGGTGGCTCACAACCACTTGTAATTTTAGCTCTAGAGTACCTAACACACTCTTCTGGCCTCCTCAGGCCCTTGCACTGATACTGTTGCTGTGCACACACATCCAATTCAAGATAAAACTCTTTAAAAAATGACTGAAACAAAATGTTATTTAAAATGTTAGTTATACAAAATAAAATGAAACACAACCAAAATTTGTGTACTGACTGGTATGTGTGTTAACTTGACACAAGCTGGAGTTATCACAGAGAAAGGAGCCTCCCTTGAGGAAATGCCTCCATGAGGTCCAGCTGTAAGGCATTTTCTCAATTAGTGATCAATGTTGAAGAACTCAGCCCATTGTGAGCGGTGCCATCCCTGGCCTGGTAGTCCTGGGTTCCATAAGAAAGCAAGCTGAGCAAGCCATGGGAAACAAAACAGTAAGCAGCACCCCTCCATGGCCTTTGCATCAGCTCCTGCCTTCAGGTTCCTGCCCTGCTTTAGTTCCTGTCTTGACTTCCTCCAATGATGGACTATAATCTGGAAATGTAAGCCAAACAAACCCTTTCCTCCAGTCCTGCATATTGGTCTTGGTGTTTTCATTGAAGCAATAGAAACTCTAATTAGGACAACTTGTAAGTGGGGAAGTTTAAGATAGTCACACACTGTCTATATGGGGACTTACGATGTATCAAAGACATAATAGTTAAACAGATTAAGTAATAGGGTGGAAGTGTTTAAAAGTTTAAAGTGAACAAGCAGAGTGAAGAGTTGGGTCCACACTGTTACATAGTAGCCATGACAACACAC